AAAGCAATCGCGTTAATACGACTTATAAAGCGTTTTACAACAGCGGAAGAACAAGCAGTCGTCGCACAATGCGAATAGCGTAACGAGCGGGTCGTTCAATACTCCAAACTATCACAAAAGCTTGTTCTTGTTCCCCTATTAACTGTGGCACATACCCACTTCAGCCATAATTTCTCATCGTCGTCAGCCACTGCATGGACAAATGTCACAAAATTTCTTGCAAGTGTTTAGCGGATACCACGCTTCTCGGAAGAATGACGGAAAATAGCATAGCAAATGCCGGCCTACTATCCAAAAGTTTATTATTAATGCCCTTGTGGGTACCAAGCAAGTGTGCTTGTAGTAGTTACCCAATGAGTGTTTTGAAAAGACTCTGAAAGGCTGCCTTTATAGCTTTCGCTGTGACTGTGCTGCGCCTATACCGCGCAGGCCTGGCGTTTTTCGAAGGTCGTAGGTTCGGTCCTTGCCCAGGACAAGTTTTCTTTGCGTCCACTTTTTTCTTTCTTCAAATTTACATTACAATTACTTCTAATAAGATCGCCTATGCTTTTGCTGTCGTTATTGTCTGTTCTCATTCATGGTTCTTGTGTCAAATTGTTGAAAAAGCAGTGCTGGTCTCACCTCTTTGGCAAGTGAGATGAAATTGAACTGGGCAATTCATGTATAGTAAGAGACTGAAGACTGCGTTTGTTTTATACATTCATATTCTTCAATGCTTCTTGCACAGCAGCAATCCAAATGCAAAATATATGAATACAAAAAAATAAGAAACATAGGCAGTCTTGTTTTCTTTTATTCTAAACAAGGGTGTGCACATCTGCTTTTTGGCACAATGAAACACTTTTTTTTATACACTAGACATGTTTCAACATCACATTTGACATCTCTTTTGGTATTATGGAATCCAGTAAAAATGAGTCATGGTATTTAGTAAAGTAAGCAAGCATTCCATTCATGTGGCATCTAACCTACGTCTATTGCCTCCTAGAAACTTCTACTCTAAGAGGTACACTAAAATTAAGGTTTTCTAATTGTTTGGTACACATAGAAAAGTTTTGGGGGTACAGAGCAGACCCAATACAAATGAGAATACTTAATTGGCATTCACAGAGTAATTAATTATTAATACGATAGTGCCACGAGATGTTGCTAGGTAGCTCTTCTGTTGAAAGATCTACACAAAGGACTCCAGCATTAAAGTCTTTGTGGGCAACCATTGGCAATGAACATAAATGTTACATTTCTCATTTTTGCAAGTCTACAAAATGCAGTTTACCCTTATCTGGTAGCTCTTCAGCACTGATATGCTTGAGCAAACGTTTTACCAGAATACTGCAGATGTATGTCAGAAGCAGTAGGGATAACCGCTTAATTTTTCTAGGTATATATAGTCTACATGTCTTTGATAGCATTTTATTCCAAATTGAATGCAATCTCCCCCATCCCAAGAAAAACATGCTGCAATTAATAGTCCAGTTATTACCTGCAGCCTACAGCAAGAGTTTGTCAACGGCTGTACATTGTCATAACCTTTGACAAGTGGTGCTGCCCTACAAACTCAATATTTTTGTCTAGTGCCAAGGTTTCGCAGCTGCTACTGTATCGAGCAACTTTGGTATGACCCATTGCGTTGCTCATAAAAATCAAGTAGTGCGATGTCTGCAGTGTGTACAATGCCACTGCTTAGTTTGCAGCTCACAACCATGGATCGTGTGCGTAAACATCTCAGCTGACTTGCCAGAGTTATGGCTGGTACTAAAGAGGACACAACTACTAAAGTTACGCTGCAATGTGACTTGCATGGGTTCTTGCATGTAGTGAATGCTTCGGCACAAGGCAGGCTTGACTCAGTGTGCACTGTTAGGGCTGTAAATTGTGGCTGTAAAATATGGCTGCATATTTATTCCCACTCCTACATATTGACCCACTGTACATGGTCTTCAATACCTTATGTATTTAGGGTGACTACTCGCATGCACATAGTATGTCATGCAATGTTATTGTGCCAACAAGCCCAAAATTGTGCTCTTAAGTACTTCTCTTCATGTTCCTGTTGCTTCCATTTTTAACCTCTATGTTGGTAGAATACAAAGCATCTTTGTTAAACTGAGATAAAACAAAGAAAGAAAACAGTGCTGCTAGGCTTTTTTTTTCTCATTCATAATTTACAACTTTGTGAGGTAGCAGTATCTTTGCTGTAGGAACCTGCAGCGAGACAGTCTTGTCAAAGTGACATATTCATAATATTGGTGGTTCATTGACATTTGGGCTGTTGGATCAATTTCGCTAATACTGACAAAGAATTGTGTGGTCACATTCCATATATTGTACAATACTTGTGGTTACCTTTTGAAGAATGGGTTTAGTGCACACACATTTATTGTCGTTATGCAGGCATGCTTAACACTAAATGCTGTGAATGGAGACTGGATTTTGCAGTCTACTTTATTGGTCTTTGTGTTAACTGACATGCCTAATGGTGCCGTACTTTAGTTTTATATAAATTCTAGCAACGTTCCTCATCAACTAGTGTGCAAGAAGGTCATGTGGTGTAGATATCTGCATATTTATTAGTTTTAGGGCAATGAGTACCAGTTACCACACTTGCACAAGCATCGAATGCAGCTGTGACAGCATTTCAAGTGCATATACTCGTTTCATTCACTCTATGATGCGACAGTTCTTGGGATTCAGTGTGCATTGCTTGAAATTCACGAGTACCAGCAGCAATGATTTTTTTTAAGGACAAACAAACATGAAAACACCTTGACTAAGGATTCTGGGGTACTTTGACAGCTTCTTAGTTCTATTTCACTGATGGAATCGCAAGATGTATTTGAACATGGATTGTAGCTTACTATCAGGATGGCAAAATGTCATCGTCAGCTACATCAAAGGACACAGTTTCATTGTGGTAAATGCTCATTAGACACTGCTGTAAAGTGTGAGGGCTCCTCATAGCCTTCTTCAGACCATTCTGAAAACAGAAAAGAGAAGGAAGGTAATGCTTAGAACAGTAACTTCTCATTTTCTAAAATAAGGTGTCACGTACTTAAAAACAGTGAACCTTCAGTGCATTCACGAGAAAACTAAAGATGAAGTAGAACTCTAATACACTATACAACACTAAGTACCAGGCGATTACGTATTAACACACACACTAAGGGGGGATGCGTTAGCATATCACAAGCACAGATTATAGAGTTAATACATCATACACATGCTCCACATCATAACGAGACACATGCATCACACAGTCATTAGAACAGGACTGTAACCATAAAAAACATGCAGTACGTTCGCTTAGTACACTTTTCTAATGATCAAATAAATAAAAAAACAGTGCAGAAAATGACCAATGATGACAAGCTTTGTGTAGAAAACAACATCAGTGCTGATTTTTTTTTCTGTTTCCTGAGGGTGAGAAGATCTCACCGACAAGTGATATGTAGGTTTCCCGCCTCCTCTACGTAATTTAGGCCATCGTAAACCAGTCTGAATCATTAGGCATCATCTAGACTTGGTGTGAAAACAGTGGTCACGAAGCTGTGCACGAAGTTTCAAGTAGTGCACAAGCAAATTCTTTCGCCGTATAACACTGAATTTTCGATGTCTTGAGGCTGACAGAAGCGTATAGTAGCGGGCCAGTAAGTAAGTACACACGTATATGTGAACACATATGACAAACAACCTGTATATGGCATACGTATACTTTCACAAGTAAATTGCGAGCTGGCAACAGCCGTGTCTGGCACAGCAATAGTTTGTGAGCACAACAAAAGGATGTTACTCATATGCCCCGTTTCACTTGCCTTTACTGGCGAGGAGAATGGAATGGAGGTCCGCAGAAAGAAAGAGCACGTACAACTCACATGACTAGTCAGGTTATGCACTGCCAGAGTATACATGTGGCATTCTTCACAAACAACAAGTGGAATGCAGGTGCACGCTCGGCTGCACGACGAGAAAAAGAAAGCAGCTGCAAGAAGTAGGAAGGCCATACAAGCACATCACCGTCCACTGTACTCATTTTGTTTTGCTTTTCTTGACAGCCCGACCAACCACCAGCGAATGCTGCTGTTACAGGCCGAGGTTGAAACAACTGCCTGCAAGCGCATCCAGATAGTAACACCAGAGGAAGAAATTGTTAGTAAAAACGAAAGCCAGAGACACATCACTTTTTTTTTAACCAGTGCATGCCTTTTTGTTCATTTTTGCCAATATGCGACAGCCTGAGTGCAACATTCGACTGAGTGCCTCGAACTCTTTGAAGTGACCTAGCAATGCTGATTCACTGTCCTATGATTCGTGGTCTACAAGATACGCATCTATACCATGTATGCGATAGGCAATTCACCAGTAGACAATATATTTATTGCATGATAGTGGCTTGAAAAATGTGAATAATATATGTGAAATTTTGTATCTCCTTCCATGAGCATTCGCTTCCTATTAGCATGCGATCTCACCTCTGTATAAATGCCTTCCGAAAACATCGTGTCAGCTCTTTTGTTATGGGCCAGGAATTTACCTGCATACACGTGGGTAAACCAAGGCGGACGTTTATGATACCGCCGTAATTGTGTTTACTTCACCCGCCATACATCCAGTGTTACCTACGCCATGCCAGCACTTCGCCCCCGATTCCTTCAACCTCCATGTAATAGTTGTGTGCACTCTCGGGCGTAGTGATGAGTGGGTATGCATAGTCACCAGACCTCAGTCGCCTGGTCGCAAGTAGCGTGTAATTAAGTCTGGCCTTGGTTCGAACGGTGGTAATGTATTTGTCTAAGGTATTTTTTTTTTCAGTCCCATGGTAACATCCTCGGTTACTCCAGTACTCTGCTATCTATCTGCCGCAAAAAAAAAAAAAAAAAACATACGAAAAGTTTGAATAGTAGGCTTTTCCTCATAAAAGCTCATATCGTGGAGTAGCCAAGCTCTGAGAAACTCTCTCTCCAATGTAGCATGCGTGCGTTAAGGTGAATGCAGGAAGAAGAGGACAGTTAAATTTTCTTGCAGAATAACTGTCGCATCCGCAATTGATGCGATGCGATTCTAACTATTGCTATGCGAAGATGCGATTTCCCGCTTAATTCTGGCCTGGCACCATAAGGGAAATATATGTGATAATTGCGGTATCGCTATGCGCTCGAACTCCGGCACTTCACCTTTCGAACCTTTCAGCAGTGCTTATACTAAGAGAAAAATGAAACTTGTGTTTGAAACAGACACGCTGTCTTGGTGCACTCGTCTCGCACTCACTGGCGTTCCATTTTCTTCTCCTCGAGTCATTCGAGCCACCGTCTCTCTGCTTTTTCATTGAGATGTTCCCGCATGCACTATGGTTAAATTGGTCAACATTGAGAAGCGATGCTGTGACATAATAATTAGAACCATCGTTCATATTTGCATCCCTGGGAGGAGTCATTTCCGTCATTATTCGCGCTTGCGTGGCTTTTACCAGATTGCGGACGTTGACGAATTAACCACCGCCCTGAATTCGGAACTCTCAAAAATATCGATTAAAAAAGGCCAACAAGTTCGTGATAGGATTTACACTGTCCAAGATAAGTCTCCCATGTGTACGCGGGTGCCCTAGAGCTCGTTCTCGGGATATATTTAGACCACAATCAGGCAATGGAAGGATACGTTGAAGCTTGACGTTAATGTAATACATGAAAACTACAGTTCTGGTAGCCCGTACAATCTCCGATGCGAAAATTCGACATTACTGTAGCAACATTCCCGCAACGTACGTTCCTTCGACTGAGTGAACCCACAAAGTGTAAACTTCATCCGGATATCGGTTCACGAAATGACATCATTGTTGCACTCAGGCTGTTCCAGTGAAATACGTCTTCGGTCCGGACGATGCATCGTCAAGACAGAACAGTGCAGGTCAAAAGCCCCTAAGACGACTTCGCGCGCGTGCGTCATCGCATTCCGCATTGGGTCTTTGCACAAATAAATGAAAGAACGGGTCGGCTGGCGGGATGAGCGGTTCTCGTTCAGCCCGGCTACTTTCAATTCTTGCACCTGCCTTTCCTTTGCCGCCTTTGAAACTTTCGCAGCCTCCTTCCCCACTCATCCTTCCAGTCGATGACGATGCTGTTCTTGTCCGCTGTCAGGCCCGGCTGGCCGTCATGCATCTCTTCATTGCCTGCGTATTGGAGAGAAAGAGATGATGATGGTGATGAACCCCGGCCAGTCACTGTTACTCTAGAGTCCCTAGTACGGCAAGCTTCATAATCGCACCGTGGTTTCAGCCCATAAAACCTCCGAATTATTAATATTTTATTTTCATTCCTTATGGACGTAGTCATTGGTTTGAATAGTACCGCAGTTTTGTCCTAGTTGTTGACCCGTTGGATTGGCGCGTGATAATCAAAGAATAATAGGAAATCAAATGTAAGTTAATACGTGGCTATGCCATTGCATAAAATTTCTTTCTCGGTGTGATAACAACTCATGTCGATTTTTAAAACCAGTTTCAGCGCAAAAGCAAATCGATTAATGCTATTAGTAACAAGTTAAAGTGTCATACGATGTACTGCTCGCAGCCTTTAAGATCCGCTCACGCGCAGCTTTACCAAACGGTGGCGTAAGGAAATACGTCCGCTACAGGGAACGAAGCGCGGGTTTTCGTTCGGTCCATTGCCTCAGCGCAAATGTAAAAGGGGAGACAACTTTATGTGCAATGGTAGGAGCCATATATTGATGTCTGTCGAGATATACGGTGTGCATGACCGCGACCCTTTAGATAAAAGATTGCCGTTGCTGCCCGCGCCACGCATCTGCCCACCCACCAGGACCCCTTCATGCGCCTTCGCTCGACGGAGCTGGTGGACACGTTTTATCTCTGTCCTGAGCAGCACCCATTTGCAGCCTCCGCAAGCTTTCACGTGCAGTTAGAACAAACGACGCACGGCGTGATGTTATTAGTTTGAACTTTATACGCATCATGACGGCGACGAGTTCACTATAATTTCTATTGCAATTAAAATACAAAAGTGGTATTGCAGTCACGTTATTGAGAAGTGAATGAGACGTACGTCAGGGAAAGCATATAACAATATAGTTAACCGTCTTTTACTATGTATGTAGTAGCTCTCACCGAGAACGAGGTAGCTGCTCTTCAGCCTCAGTTTAGGGCACTTGCAGGCCAGGTCGGCCATGGGCACCCAGAGGAAGTCGTTGCCGCGCCGCACTTTAGACGGGCCGTACTTGAAGATGTCCACCACCTGGATGTTGAATCGCACCCAGCTGCCCACCGTCTCACGGGACAGCACGTTGGCCTGGATGGCTGCGACAGCAACAGTGACAGGACAGAACAGCACATATACACGTGCTAAACATCGACGCCACAATTCTGCCAGCTTCGGTCGAAGCGTCAATTTTGGAGCTGGCTACACGTGTTTTAAAACAGCCTTGTCTAGTTTTACGACAGCCTTGTCGTGTTTAAGACAGCCTTGTCTAGAAAACGAAAGTAATGTACAACAACCTCGGAAAGGAGCAGCGCTTCGAGATAGGTAATAGTGCACTTGAAGTTGTGAAAGACTATGTCTACTTAGGGCAGGTAATAACCGCAGACACTAACCACAAGATTGAAGTAACTAGAAGAATAAGAATGGGGTGGAGCACATTCGGCAAGCACTCTCAAATTATGACAGGTAGATTGTCACTATCCCTCAAGAGGAAGGTATATAACAGCTGTATCTTGCCGGTACTCAGCCACGGAGCAGAAACCTGGAGACTTACAAAGAGGGTTCAGCTTAAATTGAGGACGACGCAGCGAGCAATGGAAAGAAAAATGGTAGGGGTAACCTTAAGAGACAAGAAGAGAGCAGAGTGGATTAGGGGACAAACGAGGGTTAAGGATATCATAGTTGAAATAAAGAAGAGGAAGTGGACATGGGCCGGGCATGTAGCGCGTAGACAGGATAACCGCTGGTCATTAAGGGTAACTAACTGGATTCCCAGAGAAGGGAAGCGGGTTAGGGGGAGACAGAAGGTTAGGTGGGCAAATGAGATTAAGAAGTTTGCGGGTATAAATTGGCAGCAGCAAGCACAGGACCGGGTTAACTGGCGGAACATGGGAGAGGCCTTTGTCCTGCAGTGGACATAGTCAGGCTGATGATGATGATGTCTAGTTTGATCAAAACGTCGCCACGCATTGTGCTCGCAATCTCGCGCTAAACTGCCCAGGGCGTTCGCGTGGTCGAGCAGAGAGCTATTGTCTACACGCGACGTCTCGGAGGCCACGTCGAAGCACATTTCGTGGATTCAAAAGTGCCGCTTGAGATATAAGCCAGCTATGAAGATTAGAATCAAACTCGTCCCGCCCCCTTCTCCTGCTTCTCCACTTTCTTGTAGCCACGCCAATGACTGACGCAAAGCGCAGTCCTCCATGTTTGTAGCAATTGCAAACAGAACAATGGACCACGTCCTTTGTGTACTTGCGAGACTGACTAGGCCTCCCACGAGAAAAAAAAAAATTAAGGCAACTTTGCACTAGGGGTGCCAAGCCTGAGAGAAGTGCGGAGTGGGGCAGTCTTCTTGTCTCCGCATCTCTTTTCCTTTCCTCCTCTATTTGTTTATTTTTCTCCTTTCCAGTATTGTTTCCTCTTTTTTCTTTCCTCAGTTTATTCTCTATTTATACAAGCCTTTCTCTTGCTCGTTTTTTATTTCTATTTTTTTTCAACCTACTCTCTCTTTCTATTCCACGCTTGATTCCCCCCCCCCCCCCGTTTTAAAAATTTTTATACGGTGTTTTGCCTGCGTTTTGTCAAGCACACTAGTTTTTTTTATAGTTTTTTTTATTGCTGGTCGTTATAAGCGATTGTCATGAAGGCGCTCGAATAACAAGATAAAGAAGACTTCTCTCTGGCGCGAGCGCGCGCTTAAATTATTCTACACATGGATCGTTAAGCCAAGCGACCAAAACAGCATACTATACGACATACGACAGCATGCGACAAAATGTAGCCCTCCTAACTTGTTCCGCGCACTTAAAAGTTGTGACATCCCTGCTTACCTTACAGAAGTGTGTATGTTGTGAACGAAAATGAACGAAAAAGACTCGGTTGCCGAACGGAACCGCTCGTAGATCATCGGTTCACTTTCCGCGTGTTCGTGTGTGCAAAAGTAGTTCACCTATTGTTCTTCGAGCTCGTGCTAGATTTTGATGAGGATCACATTGCTGTAATTATGAAAAAAAAACGCATTCACATCCAATGTTTTTTTTTAATCTGCTCATAATCTTGAGGAACTTCGTTAATCGCTTTATTTAGTTATTGTATCACGTTCGATTACTGGATATTATCACTGTAAGTCGCTGTAAGTCGCTGTGTTATCTCAGCTGTTGAGCTCTATGCTCAATGGTACCGATATGTAAATAGAAGATTTCCTTTTCGTGCATTGGAAGCGTTTTTGTACAGGCATGTCATCGGAGCCTGCTGTATAGCTTAAGCATTACATACTTCCTCAGAATCAGCGTTGTTACTTATTTTTATCAAACACTTAACGAGCCTTGAATAGATGCGGCTAGGATTCATGACACCGCTGGAAGCTCGGCCCGGCAACTTGGAGCTGGCACCACGGCCTCCCGCATGCGTCTGTCGTTTCCGCACATTTTCTTGCTTGCTAAGCTCCCGCTCACGACGAGAAATGCTGTCGATATTTCACATGTAGAAACGTAATTTGCCATCGCAGCTTAACCTGCCGCGTCCCTTTTCGGCGCCCCTTTAAGTAAAAGAGCCGGTCTGTTCCGTGGCCATCCCGTTCAAGTGATGACCTCGATCGCGTATGTGTCCGACGCCCCCCCTAGCGGCGGCACCTGTATAACACGCCGAGGCGGCTGCAAGCACACTTATCGTCGGGCGCGTGCGTGCATCCCGCGGGCGCCGGAGCGAACCGTCAACTTGCACTTCTCGACATGCCTCTATTATTTACGACCTGCCGTGGAATTTGTGTTGCGCAGGCTTGTTGAGCAGCCGGAGCCGAACGGGCAGATAGGAAAGGAGTCCGCGGAGTTGCTCCATCCGCTAAGTCACGAGGAGCACGGAGAGTTTTATTGGGGCTTGTTATCGAAGGCTCCGTTCCGCTCACCGGCTTCTTGCTTTCTTTCCTTTTCAAGGGCGACCAAAAGAAGCCGGGGTCGGTGGTGTCTTCGCTATTCTCGCGGTACATGGGAAGCAGAGGAAGGGGGGGGGGGGGTGACCGGGTGCTCGGAAGAGGTCTTTCCCGACTGCCCCGCGTCTTCTCTGATGGCTAGCTATCCGGCTACCACCACACGTGGATTCGCTCTAGACGCGCACGCATGCGTCGGTACCACTTCCAAAGCTCTCGCTTCCCCTCCCCCTGTCTGCCCCTCACCCTCGCACTCCCATTCTCGACAGCTTCAGTCCTTGATAAAGCACCGACATGACGCCAGATCACTACGGACAGCGTCGTTTTCGCGAATTCTCCCTTTTCTACGAGATTATCGATAAGAAGGGCCACCACGGTACTGTCAAGAGTTATGCAAGGAGAACAAGAAAAAAAAAGAAGCAAACGAAAAAAAAAGGCACGCGTATCTCGTCTGCGGATCCCCTTCACATATTTTGTTCTTTTTTTAAACGTTACAATTATTCGCACATTTATATTCCCGCTCTCTCTTTTTCATGCTCTATTCTCTCGCTTGTAGTGTACAGCAAGTACGAACTTTTTTTTATGTACAGCGACTACTTGCTACTTGACAGTGTACTGCTCGAGATTGCGATATCGAAAACGGGGCGAGCTGCGATCCTGCGATCGCAGAGAAATGGCGGTTCGCATCTTATACGTTTTAGGTTCTTACATCATTTTACATCTTCTTTTCGTTTTTCTTGTGTTTTGTAAGTGTGTAGTGGAGAGATGGGAAATATACGGACATGCTGCGGTCCGACGGAGTGCTTATAAATTCTGTTCAGAGAGTACACATACTTTTTTTTCAACTCGGCGCTTTGGCTATTCTGTGGTACCACTAGTACAGTGTTAAAGACAGTTCCGTTTTAAAGTGCTTGATGTGCCACTTTATTTTGTTCTGAGCGTCTGGTACGGTTAAAGATGAGAGAGTTGAAATGAAATGACAAGTTGGCTGAACGAGCTTTGTTGAGTTTTAAGCTATTGATAGTTGCAGCTAAATTGTAATCAACTCTGACTTAGTCGTCTCAGGCGCCTCAGACACTGAGGTAACTGAGTAGCATCTATTCGTACAGCAACCTTGTCGTTTTTCCCCCCAACGCAATCAGTAGCGTAACCAGAACTGCTAATGTAGTTCCAAAGTAACGTTTTTTTCAACAGGTTTATAGGCTGTTGTTTCTCAAATTAGAAACTACAAAGCCTTTAAAAGAAATTTTCGGAGTATGCAAAGATGAATACCAAACATGAGATACAAGACGATAGTTATAGCGCGAGAACAGAACGATCACACATAGACAAGAAGGACACGAAGGACACGAGCGCTCGTGTCCTTCGCGTCCTTCTTGTCTCTGTGTCGTCGTTCTGGTCTTGCGCTATAACTAACGTCATGTCGTATCAACTAGCCCAAGCTGCCACAATTCTATGAGATACAAGATTTTCGCTGATTGGTAAAGGGAACAGACAGTTGGAATCGGATGACTCAGGCATCTTACCGAAGTCCCTCTTGCAGTACTTCCTCTGGTTGATTCTCTTTGTAGTTGTCTTGCATTTAGAGCATTGTTCTGCAACAAAGAAAAAAACAAGAAAGAAAAAAAGATTGTGAATGTCACTGACCTTGTTGTTTTGTGTTGATAAACACTCAATCACAAGGGCCTGTATCTACATATATGAATACCAATACGCATTTATGAAGTTGTTATAACGAGAATGCCACTGTACTTGGGAACAAAAACTTACGTGAATCACTCGAATTCACGCCCTGCAATTTTGGTTGTCACCCATTCGATATATATATATATATATATATATATATATATATATATATATATATATATATATATATATATATATATATATATATATATATATATATATATTTGAAATATTCGTCGTATATTAGAATACGCTATTTTTGTCAGTATACGTCGTGTAGTGAAAGCCTAGATGGTATACCAACCATTGTGGCAGCACCTGGTCAGGTAGGTGGGTCAAATTCTGATATTGCACTGCACGGAAGTTATGAATTAGCGCCATATATGCGTACATAGGCTGCATTAAAAAAATACCGCATTACGTTGTCCGAGCTAAATGTTTCGGATTTCCGGCAGGTCAATCGAAATATAATTTCGGAAAATCATGATTCGTTGCGTACAAGTTTGACGAATGGCCAATTAAACAACCACGAACATTTTTCTGGGCATGCTACACAAAGTTCGGAACACGTGTTTGAGAAGTGGTTTTCATACTGAGAGATTAAGAACTGTGCGTGTACACCCCTTCTGAAAGCATAATTTACTTGAGGAAATCTAGATAGAGCAAGAAACAGACGGCCTTTGTGGACTCGTGCGAACGTGTCGTGTGTTCAGCTTTCCTATATACGCAGTCCATATGTCCGCGCTATTGCGACAACAGACAGGTAAAGATACAGATAACAATATGCATTAAGGGGCAGGATAGGCACCCTACTGTCTTATGTCGTTTTTTTCTTCCTTGTCCCAGTCGTGCCACAAATATCTCGTTAAACTCAAAGAACTCTCTACCAATCACCGGAATCGAGGAACGTTTCGTTAATTTAGACGAGATCGTTATTCACGGAGGACTGTCCCCTCTTAGGTGACGAGATAGTCCACGTAAGGACTATTTCGATTCCAGCGAGATGGTTCCTGTTATGACTGTCTCCAGGAAGATCTGGACTATTTAAGGGCTATATGGTGAACGTGATGATGAGATGGTTGTTTGTATCTTTGACACTTTGTTACACTGTGCCTCATGAAAAGCTTAAAAAAAGAAACATAGTAGCTCCCCATCAACCTTATAGCAAGGATGATCGGATTTGGCCCACGCGGATGTTGCAAATAACATTTCGTGTTCAAGTTATAACTGTCCCGGGGAAACGGAAGCGAGCAGTGAGGCGCACTTACCAGGTCCTCCAGCTGCCATAATCGAATGGTCCACTGTAGGTATTTCTGCGAACAAGTTGTAGAAGTACATCAACGCAACAGTTTTTACAGCCTAGCTGTATAGGTTGTTCCGTCTGTTTTTATAGGGAACAAGAATTTTCATCAAAATGGAGGGACAATCGCAAGGCCGACGTAGTCAAACTAAGCGCTTCTTTGTGGGTTATATTTAGTTGATTACTTTATAACGCGCGCATTTAAAATGTTGTGCGGGGAATCGTTGACAAATGCACGATGAAGAAATAAAGCAGCTACTACCATTCACGATAGTAGCAACAACAAACAAAACACGTGCAGCTGCGCCTGTAATGGGCATAATGCGGAGGAGAGAGGTGGTCCAGCTCCTCCTCCGCCCTCCCTCATCTCGGAAAAAAACTTCTGGCCACGCGCTCGCTGCTTGTATGATGTTGCTTATGACTGCATAGGTGTTTTATTTGTGTATTTGCGTTGTATACTCTTGCGCTCGTCTTTCACTTTGCCGTCCATGCAGCTGTTGCCTGCTCCTGCAGCGCTTTTGTTTGTCGCACATTATGAACTGTTCCTCTACGGAATACACTCATGATCATATCCTACGGGTTCTGCCAATAATTACGGCGCAAATTATTTGCAGCCACGGTCAACCCGTCTGCAGTTCTGATGCATGCAGTTGTTTTCAACGCGCGAATTGTCGGTTTAAAGCCCAAACCTCATAAGCGCGAAAATGCACGCGACAGCGACGCGACGTAGATCGTCTTCGCGCGATCAGTCGCTAGCGCAGGCAAACCTCATTCACGCGACGGCTTCGGCGAGCGAATTCCACTGTTGCTGGCACGAGGCCGTCTACTCGCACCAACAAAACTGCGTAGTGAGCGGTATGCAATTTAAAAAAAAAACGATATATTGTTGTGCAATGTAACGGAAAGTGTTTATGAACGCCTTGCAGCACTTTTTTTATATGCACATGTGTAATAAACATTGCGTTATTTCTTGTTGCGCATACGTGACTCGGGCACGGTCACGTGCACCTATGTAGTCTTTGTCTTTTCCGGTTTTTCGCTATTGGCTGATTGAGCCCAGCACTTCCGGGCGATGAGCAACGGTTTCCAAATCTGGAGAACCGAGCGATCGCGCGAAAACGAGCACGCGACAAGTCGCGGGTCTCGCTTGCTGGATTCCGTGCCGACCGGTTGTGCGCCCGCGCGCTCCACGCGCTTGCGATCTTCGGCGTCAGCGTAGCTCTGGCCGACTGGGCTCGCCCTACGTCACCTCCTGCCGCCGACGACCTTCGACGACAGTGTAGCTCTGACTTACTGGACCTGCTCTACGCCATCTACAGACGCCGACAACATCTCTCGCAAGTGTACCCCGTCCTCGGACTCCAGTGACAGTGCTTCCATCTTTCCTGTCTCTCCTATCCCCTCAGTTTGTTGTTGCTTCTTCTTCCTCTTTTCTACACCTTTACTCCTAACTTTTATATCCCTCCTCACCCCCATTCCTTGTGAGCCCTGTGGCGGTGTCGCTCACTGAAGCAGACAATAACGGGGCTCACTTTTCTCTTCCTTGCTCTTTCTTAAGAATCACTCAGCGACACGTCGCGCGAACGCCCTGTTTCGCCGCTCATAGCATCGCTCGTCGCTGTCGCGTGCATTTTCGCGCTTATGAGGTTTCCTCTTTAGTGTTTGAGTGTAGGCAGATTACAGCGCACCTTGCCGAATGAAGTGCGAGTTTCACTCGCGCATGCAGTGCCTATGTTAGCCGAACCACCGGAGCCAGCGTTAATTCGGCCGGTGAGGGCTTCGGCATCTCCCAAAATAAAAAGAAAATGCCTAGAAATCTATGTACATGTATACACGCATACGCGCGCATACCAACGCACGCACCAACATACAAAACGAGTGATTACTTCCTTCCCCCCCCCCCCCACTCCACCCCAAACAACTCGACTGCGGCCGTGGCCGACGCCTCTGCACACTAATACTGGTCTTCCATGTGGAAACGACACGTGTGACGCACAGCGTCCGAACACAACATAACAGGGCGCACGCGTGGTTGCAATATACCGAAATTTTATGGCTACAATAGGCTCGCTTGAATGTACTTTCGTGTCGTTTTCGTGTTATTGGGATCGTTTAAAACATGGTCAGACACCTCAATGCATTAAGTAGAGTGAATTGCTGTTTCTGGACTTGTAAAAAAAAATTCGTTTAACGAAAGAGCATAAGTGTACCGTGGTCATTCGCATATGTCTCACCATCAATCTACCCTGTTGCCAGCACAACCTGTATAAGCCTCGATGAGGCGGGTGTGCCTGAAGAGCTAGCTCGATCTTGTTCACGAGTCCAGCGTGCGCGCACCGCTGACTCTCAACGTCCCCTCGATTTCTGCTTATTCTCCGCGCGATGGCTGACGCCTCGAGCCGCATAGGCACTTCACTGCCACACTGGGATTTGCCGCGTCATTTACCTCAGGATATCTCGCCTCTGGGCTCTTATACGCGACTATGCCCAAGTGCACCCAAATTGAAGGAGAGGTGGCAAAGAAAGAAATCTCGATAAAAGAGAAGTGAAACGGCGAGCAGGGGAGGACTTCTAACAGGCCGGTCGGCCCTTTAGCAACGGGCAGGCAAGCATGGCTTGTATAGGCCGCGGCATTCTTGGGGAGTGCCTGGCGGGTTCCATAATAGTTGCGCATAGCGAATCGCGCGGCTAACGTAGATTTATGATTTCGCTCTTGTCCCCCTTCTTTCTCTCTCTCTATCTTGTTCCCTCACTCGTCGTACTTCTCAGCCTCGCGTCGTTTAGTGTGCCGGCCAGCCAGAAAAGCGTAACGCTCCCGCAAGCAGGTCTTCCATATGCGCTGCGTACATAGAAACAGCCCTGTTCCGAAGAAAGAGCGGAAGAGGCAGGAAAGGAGGACAGTAAAAGGTGAAACTCCGCGACCAACGGCGGCCCGGCGAGGGAAGCGTGATTGATACGTATTTCGGGCAAATTTGCCGAATACCTTCAAACCTTCCCGCGAGTGCGCTGACGTTCACTATACCGCCGCCATCGCGTCTTTCCTCCTCTTTTCTTTCTTTACTTTTTCTTTCGTTACTTTTTTTCCCGTGATTTTCTTCCGTAATAGAGAACAGCGGCGTGGAACGTGGGGTAGCTACGCAGTCTCGGCTGTTTACCGTGACGTGTTTATGTGTTGGTACGGTTTATACTTACTGATACAAAAAAAGAAAAGAAAGAAAAGTCAAGGCATAAACGGAGGGTGGTGAGTGGTCTACATTCGCCGGCCTGCTTTCTCCGATCTCGCCACCCCACGTCAGCCTCCCCCACTTTCCATAATGTTAACGGGGGGTAAGTGAGGGGATAGCAAATGCAAGTCGGATAGCGGAAAGATGGAACGTATATAACATAGGAGAAAGTAGTTGAAAAGGTGTTGCTGGGGGGGGGGGAAGCAGAAAACGCGTAGGACGGGCAGCGTTAGAGAACGCGTACGAGGAAAAGTGCGGGACGTCTTAGCGCATGCTGACTTTCCTTTTTGTTCTTTTTTCCCTAGACCAAAGTGGTCGAGTGGTCGGTATGCCAGCGTAGCGATGCGTACCGTGGTTCGCATTATGTACGGCACGCTAGTGACGGCCGCCGCCCCGTCTTCTCCCGATTTTCTTCCCTCGCTGTACGCCCGTGTCATATAAATTCCCTCTCCATCCTGGACTTTCCCCCACCCTCGCCCACACGCGCAATGGAAGGCTTTCTTTTTTCCCCGTTTCTTTTTCCCTAGAGAGACGAGATCATACTGTGTGAAATTTCAGAACACTTATAGTTCTCTTTTTTTTCCTTTTTGCCCGGGATGGAGAAGAAATGAAAGGAGGGGAAAAAAAATGAAAGTATGTAGTGAGGCCTGTATGCCACAGGAATGGCGGGGGAGACGAGGTAATGGTGCGGGAAGGACTCCAGAGTGGCCGCGGTGTTCCCTGCCCATATCGCACTGGTGTGCGTAGCTGCAAACACACTTGTTTACTTATTTTTTCTGTGTATTTTCTGATTGTAGCCTACTGAGGTTCACGTTCTTTCTTTGCAACTTGAGCACTTCTGTTGCTCGTAGTGATTCACTTCTCGCGTTCCATCTCTCACTCTCTCGTTTTTTGTACCCACCCCCCATCTTTATGGAGGTCCGTTCCGCCGCATTCCGTAACTTTGAAAATGCAGCGCAATGCGGAAACGATAGTCGATGGTGTCATGCCATTGAGTTCTCTCGAAGTGCGTTAAAAAAAAATGCCGTAAACTGCGGAAACATCCTACCTGTTAGCGGCAGAAAGCACTTACGCGTCAGCGACGTGTGCACTGGACTGTGAACCCAGCGAGAGGCTAGCGTGTAAAACAGTTTCTGTACTTTAGAATGCGTGCATAATACTTTTCCTATAAATAGTACATCGTTACCGGGGGGGGGGGGGGGGGCGCACTGACGACGGCGACGAAGAGAGAAGAACGCGACACAAGTGCTTACTTTTAATTAAGTTCAACGAAAAAAAAAAGGAAGAAATGGACATACAAAGTACGACGCACGCGTTACTACGCAGAAAATATTACTCGATGAGACACGTTACGCATTGCTTAAAAAACTTAGCCTGACAACGTCTCGAGGTGATAAAAGCGGCAGATATGCCTTTATCCTGGTCATGTTGTCAGGTGTCAGGTTAATAATCGAGTAATGTGTGACGTATGCCGCTGAGTTGTGTTTTCTGTGTAGTGGCAAATGCGTAGCACCCTGTATGTTATTTTTTTATTAAACTTTAGTTTTTCTTCATTAAAATTTTAGTTTGAAACTGACCGCTGGTGTCGTGTTCTTCTCTCTCTGTCTCCGTCTTCAATGCGCGCGCTCTGGTAACGATAAATACGTACCAGCTCGCCCAGTTTTGTGCTTTCCTGCGTATAAATCTCGGCAACAGATCCCAAAGCTACGCGGCGCTAGCACTATAAACAAACTGTTTCAGGACATGCTGCGGAGCTTTCGAGGTGAGCTTGCTCACTGTATGTGAGAGGGCTGAGCTTGCAAGTCCATGAATTGTTCGCTGCTTTGTTTAGTGATCTATTAGCTATTTGATCACGTGAGAATAGATTAGAGTTACGTCCGGAAACAAAAAAAAATTAAGCCGAAGGAGAGCACGCAGTAGATCTAAGCTATAAAGGCTAAATAAAAATTACAAGACCTTGACAGAGAGCCGTCTCAAAACTACACTGAAGCAGCATTAAAACAAATATAAAATAACGGCCCTACGTTCAACAGAGTATTGGTGGTTAGAGATGAGCACAAATGTCATATTAGTAAAATACGACAATCATAAGTGAACTTATGATGAGAGCTAATCTACGAAGGGGATTAATTTTCACACAATATTTCGGATTCAACAATGAAGTTGGGCACAACGGCCATTGTCGGCCGTCGAGCGTGAGCCTCTTGCTCATGCGCACTCGATGGAGAGGGCGAACTAGGCACAAGGAGATAGCTCACTGATGCATGGTGCGATGGGTGACCGGCTCTGCTGGTATCCCTTGGCACAGCGGTTGCACGTGGTCCCGGTGACACCGTCCTTGCAGGGGCACTGGCCCGTGGTCTGATTGCAGGTGCGCCCCGAGGCTCCCACTGGGTGGCAGTCGCACGCTGCGAGCGTGTACAAAATGTGCATATACATGTAAGATGACGTTAACAAACATCTTGCAAAGGAAAGTTCACTTTTATGACCGAAGGCAGAGTCAGATTGGCCGTTTTCTGCCCGATCTTCAGCATGAGGTACGGGCGTGAACTCATCAGTGGCGATGGGCAACGTGCCGGTGATTAGGGCAGGTTAGGTTAAGTTAGATTAGGTGAGGTAAGGTAAGTCAGGTAAAGTTCAAAGCGTACTACAGCTCATAATTGTAGTCAATTTTGATCACTGCTCATAATCAAGTCTAACATCATAATCATGATCATCTAATCGAGTCTAACATCATAATCAAGTCTAACAGGGTATGTCAGTGAAGGTATATTTTGCGAACAGATAAATAGCACTTGAGTACACCGTAAAAAAAAAAAACACAGGGCGCGGGTGAATGAAGGGGACAAGGCGCTAAATATATACCGCCATATCCCAGCGCACCCATCTGCGTCTTGCGTTCCTTGTATACTGTACACAAAAATGTATCACCAACTCTCCAAAGCGTATACCTTGGAGTAATCACTGTTGATTATTGTGTACCTACAGTACTTAGACGCAGCTGTCGGCTACTAATTCGATACTCGCGGTTTAAAGCTGAAAATAGTCCCGCTAACAGGCCGCGAGCTTCGCTGCATGTGTAAAAGTACTAGGAGAAAGCACACTTACGGAAGCACAGACTTTCGTAGATGGGCTAAAGGGATTATTAAGGGTACTTTTGCTCCACGAAAGTGGAGCAAAAATATCCCCACCTTCGTGGATCGCTTAAAAGCATCGCAAAAATACTCCTACCTTCTTGGATCGCTTAAAATACAGGGCCCCGTATTCGCGAAAGTATGTTACACTAGAACTGTTCTTACGGCAAAACTTAAGCCAATCGTGTTGCAAGGCTTCGCAAAGCACACTTACGATCCAAAAGTAGTGTGAATTTATCCTGTGGTAAATGTTTGAATCAGTTATGTCTAAAATGCATCGCCATGCGATTTATAAGTTTTTAGTACTCAGAAAAAAATAAACTAATAACAAGATGAGTTCGTTTGCAAAGCCTCAATTGTAACCCCTCGACATTGCATGCAGACGCTGCTTCGTCATTCTGGAACCATACGGCGCAAACGGTTCTACTTGAGAAGCTACTGGCTCGTAACGGTGAGTTATCGCCATCTTACGTGTCAAGGCCTGACCACACGTACGCGTCTACAGCGCGTCGGCGCGAGGCTTTTCTGACGCGGCGCCGCGCCTTCTCCCGATAACGACAGAGGGCGCGTGGATACGCGCCCACTCTCTTCGTCGAGCGGCTGCGTGGAGCCTGTTGGTGCTCCACCGACGCCGTCCTTGAACTTCACGCAGCTGTCATCAAGTGTGAGTCCCACGCGATAGCTTTATGCTATCCCATAGTAGAGTGACAAGTACTCTAAATCGCTATTCCTTATTTTCTAAGCGCACAAAAGCTGTGGTGATAGAAAACGCGCAGTCAAACCATCCCATCGGTCGCAATGTTCTGTCACTTCACCAAATACTATTGAATGAAGTAAGAAAGTTTTGAGGGCTCGTTTATTTTGCTTGATACAACATTGTGTCGACAATCTTTTTCTTAAATACTACTAATGATTCATAACACTAAACTCTAAAGAAAGAGCGAGTAAAAAGGGTGTCTTTATGTCCCACAACAATATTCGTCATCTATATTGCGTTCCATCCTCGCGCTATCGCCCCGCGACCGGTACATTCCGGTCACGATCGACATGCCCATTATCAGGGTTACATTGCATCCTCGATAAGAAAGTGGCCAGCGCCGAGTTTTCAAGAAAGGATGAGCACGCAAGCCTGATGACGATTATTGTTGTGGGACAAAAAGACACCCTTTTTACTCGATATTTTTTTAGAGTGTACACCAATCGTCAAACAGCAACTGTGTTGTATAGAAAGTAGCCAGTGTGACCACGGGCATCCACTTGCTTTTCAATCGGGAGGGGGGGGGGGGTGGCTATGCTTGACCGTAGCGTCACACTCCCCTTCCCCGAGTCACAAAGAAAACAAACTTTGCAAGAATGCAAACGAAACGCTGACGTGCTTGTAATAGTGGCCTGCTTCGGGGCCCAGGATTCTTCGAAGGTGGGTGGTAAACAGTTTTCAAAATACAACTATGGAGGTCCGACACTGTCATTATTGTAAAAAAAAAAAAAAAAAACTCCATCACCATTACCGTGAACAAGGAATGGTCAGATCGAACTCAGTAAAGATGTAAGGTAGTTATGCGCCCCTATAGATTATTAAGGTAACTACCTTGTTCCTCTCCCCGTAATTCGCTCGCGTATGACTGCGACACACTCCAAAAATTACACCGAAACCTCCTCAATATCGAAAGGTGCAGTCGGTCGTGTAGGACCCAGTTTACTCAGGTTTTATTAATTTTGCATGTATTTTTTTTTCTCAGTGGCGTCACTTACTCGTGCCAGCCAGCTTGGTAGGGATCTGCATTTGCAGCCCTTCGAAGCATACTCTCGGGCTCTAACTGCGCGCGCAGTTTTTATGACCCTAGGGACTACAATGCGAGTAACAATGAAAAAAAAAAACAAGATGGAGAAAAGAAACGAAGCCCTGGCTGGAAGGGGTTCGCGGAAGCGGCAGGTTGCTTTCGATCAGACGGCGCGGCGCAGCGGGGCGCCCTCGCAAGGCGCGTGCTCCGTACATCCTCCCGCGGCACCTCCATACCTGTCTCTTTCGAAGCGGGCTAACAAGACCGTAAAGATTCGTGCCGACCGGCCGCTCCCGTATAGCAGTGGCCGGGGAGCATGAGCTCGCCTGTCGTAACTTCAAATTTAGGAGGGGCCACACTTTTCTACCGGCACCCGGCCGCTGTAGCCGCGCGTGCCCCGTTGTAGGTGTACCCCGAATACGGCAGGCAGCGGGCCGTTTCTAACGTGGTGCGCAGGCCTCACGGTTAACTCGGTTCCCTCGGGGAGGTTCGCGTGACGCGTCCGGAACGCGCGCGTAGCAGTGGGTTGTGTGAATGCGTCGATTCTTTTTTTTTTTTCTGAGTTGACCTTTCCGCGATTGGTCCTGAGGGAGGTCTCTACGCGTACTCGCTCTTGCCCCATCGTCTTCGAAATGTAAGAGACGAAATGCTGTATCCTTCCCTCGTCCTGCTTTTCTTCTGTGGAGAGCCATGTGTCGGCAAAGCGGCCACTTTCTCCGCGAGTGCAGATACTTGTCGAGTAGATAGCGATGCTGGAAAACAGTGCCGCGGAGGCTAGCGCGCCTTGTAGCTTGGTGGACTTGCAGTTTTTTTTTCCTTACTTTCTGTGCAGGTCAATCTCTCCTTCTCAAAAAAAAAGAAAGGAAAACCGCGGGTTTCTGTTACAGAACTAGCATAGAGCGTGAGATTGTGAGGTGACCGATCGCTTGTGATGTGACCGACCACACTTGTTCATACTATGGTGATGCCCACTTTTTGTACTTACATCCACAAATAATATTAATGTACGAGATTCTACGTTCGAAAATGATGATATGATCGGGCGGAGTGCCGTAGTGGAGAGGTTCGGAAATTTCGACCATGTGGTGTTCTTTAACGTGCACCAATATCGCATAGTACACCGGTCTTTATACCGTTTCGCCTCCATCGAAACGTGACCGTCGCGGTCGGGATCGAACTCGCGACCTTCGGGTAAGCAACTATAACTCCTGATGGGATAAACCAAGTGAGAATGCGACGACTGCCAAACACCGGCGAATATGCATCGCGATATTCTCTCTCTAAGTGTTGATGTGGTAGCGACACGCGAGTCGATATGCCAATATCTCTTCGCCTATCTCACGATAGAATAACTTCCCCATTCTCATGCAAACGTGACTGGAAACTGGAAAAAAAAAAAGATCAGCTTTTAGCACACGCCCTCTACCTATGCTGGGCAATGTCCCGAAGCTGAAAATTGCGCCCCGCGCGTATATTTCGAGCGCGGACATCCAGAACGACGATGCAGTAGGAGTGTGCGAATGACCCGTCGGAGTGGTTCGATGCGCTGGCGTTGCGCTTGCGTACGCTAATGGCGTAGCGGTAAACAACGCGCGCTACTCCAGTCAGTCCCTGCACCGGCATCGTGCGACGGCGGCCACTCTCCCGGAATAGACGAGTGACCTGCTATTTCGGAACTCGGCGGCGAAGGCCCCCACAGGCATTCGATAAACAAACTTTCGGACGTCGTCACCATCGATGAAAATGCCTTCGAGCACCCCTGTCCGCGATGCGATCCTTCGTCGTGGGTTTGCTCTTTACGCCCGCCCGCGTGCATTCGTGGCGTTCCGGATCGCCGAAAAAGCGAGCGGCGGTTGGCAGGGTTCCCAGTGAATTCGGGTGTACCACGGGAGCCCGAAATTTGTGGGACTCGAAGAAGAAACGCTTTTCCGCTTCTGTCTACACCGGCTCGGAATGCCGATGTTTGTTTACCGAAATAAAAATAGAAGGAACTTAGGTGCTGACTTCTCAGGAGAGGCATAAACTAGAGTGGTACGTGCCTTCGTGAAGTCTACATCGCTTTTTTTTTTTTTTGCTAACGCAACTTCAGTCGTGAAATATCGCAGGCGATGCTCGGAAAGCACGTGTTTACAACAGTCTTCCGCAAGTGCCATCGCGTATTAAACGTCGCCTCAGAGATCGTGCCAAAGTCCTGTTGATCGTAAAACTTTGTAAGGCGTAGACACCTGTACGCTTCCCAGTGAGGAGACAGTTTTCTGGGCAGGAGAACTGAGCCCGTCAGCTCCAACAGGCGTTGGCGTGTGTATAGTTATACGGTTGTATACTACTGCTCATGCAACGGATAAATGAACGTCGTAAGGAGAAAGAGAGAAACGAGGAATTATTCCGATGAAGAGCAAGCTAGTCGAAAACTGTCACGAACTTAAGTACATTGGTAACGCATAGGTGGGGTAACCTTCTGAAAAAAAAAAAAAAAAGATCAGGAGCCCCATA